TCACACGGTATAAATCCAATACCGGAATTGCTAGGTCTTTACTCGTTTGGAGTTGGACTATATAAATTTCTGTCTTGCCATTTCTCTAATATATATACAGTTATCTTTTTTTGTCGTGAAACTAACTGTTAGTTATAATTCACATTTGGTAATTATGCATGCCCTTTGCTTTTTGTCCTGTCTGAAAGTATATCTGTGAAAGTACATACTACCAAACATCATTGCATGAGCAAAGTTATTTATTTTTTGTACATACCTCTCGAAATATATAAAATTTTCAATTTGCTTTGGTTTGTGGTGGGACTTTATTATAAACTAATACAGTATACTACTAGCTAGTATCGCGAGCAATGACGACTTAAATGTAAATAGGCTAGTAACATCCTTTATTTTATTTTTTTGGGCTAGTAACATCATGCTGTCTCTCTCAGTTTTTATACCATGTGTGTGTAAGTTATAAGCTTTATTGTTTTTCTTCCTTTAATTTAGAAAACGATAAGTGCTTTAAAATTGTGATAATCAAGAATGTATTTCCTGCATGATCTGAATCAACCAAAAGTCCGAGATAGATTCATTTACCTATATTGATAATTTGATATCCCCATAACAAGAATAAAAAGCATAAAAATTTACTACCTAAATCATAGCTTATATAGAGAAGGACGATCCATAACATTATAAGTGAGAAATATATTGTCCACATATATCTTAGAGATTTGTATTAATGTAATGGATCTTCTAATATACCTACTCTATAGTTTCTTCGCAGCCAAGAAGGCGTCAAACTCCTTAAAATAATATTCATCACGTTTTTCCTGTCCGCGAGAAAGGCCTCATAGTAATCAGAGTAAGCCTCCATACACTTGTACATGGTGTCAAGGGCTTCCTGTTGACTATGGAAAGTGACTATGGAAAGTGAGAGTGTTATTGTTCCTCGTATATTCTGCATCACGACGTTTAAAAGACCTTAATGGTTCTTTGCAAGGACCTCTCACGAACTCAGACGCCTGCTTAGCCCTTTCATTTGGTTCTTTAGAGGGGTAGACGGGCTCACCGTTCCTCTCCTCGAGTTCGTCAACTTTTTTCCACACCGCATAATACGGCTGATAGTAATCAATGTGAACCTCCATACACTTTTTCAGCTTCAACCATTTTTCAGTACACTCAATTGTGTTCCCCTCGCAATCTTCATTACCCGTAAATGATTCTTTGCAACCACCTTCTATCATGAACATGCGATATCGTTCTATCTGTTCCTCTAACGGGCCTTGGTAATTTTGAGATTTGGGATCGGAATTTTTGGGTTTCAGATCCATGGGTGACATGGTCCATATGCCGCCGTGCTGAGAGATCGGATCTTATGGAAATCGTATTCGCTTTTAAGTGTTTTACTCAACGAGCTATGTGTATTCTTCTTATTGACAAGCCAACCAAAGAGGCATATTTATATATTCAAGGGCTTTGACCTTTTTCTTACGACACAAGGCTTTTACGAAAGAGAGAAAAGGAAAAAAAAATATATATATATACAAGAGAAAGTTGAATATACACTAAAAGCGCAGAGAAAAGGTATATTTACTACCTAAATCATAGCTTATATCAAGAGAAAGTTGAATATACTTGATTGTCAAGCATTCTTTAATTATACTCGAAAACTTGATTGTCAAGCATTCTTTAATTAATACGAGTTTAAAGTTTGACTGGTTGATGAAAGTCCTTGCCTTAATAGTATTAAAAATGCTTTAACCTTGATTAATGTCACCCTCTGGTATTAATTAAAGAATGCTTGACTATTAAGGCAAGGACTTTCATCAACCAGTCAAACTTTAAACGAGCTACTTATTTCTTAAAGGGTATCATATAAAAGCCAATACTATAAAAGAATCATGATCATATAAGTAAGTAAGTAACAACAACACTTAATACTAGCACAAATCTTGTCATTGATATTTTGCACTGGTGTCATTTTAACAAACCTAAAGAATCTTGTTAATGATATTATATTTCCCTAATTTGTCAGTTCACACACCGCCGTAATTTTTATAAACAAAATTACAAGATTCCAAAGTGCGGATAGATAATGCGCCTAACGAAAAAGCTATACAGCTCTTCGAACATTTTAAGAATTATAAGCAAAAATTGGATTCTAAAGTGGGCATCAACAAAGTCATGACATTTAGTTAGAGCAAATTATTCGAATCATATATATAAATAAAAAAGGTAAAGAGTATTCATTCCTTCAGATGGAAACGCTAACAATTGATCCCCAAATCCAATATCGATATTCCTTGCAAACAAAGAAAACCTTAATAAATAAATAAAAAACCTAAAATTCCTCTTAGCCATCTCTCAGCTTGCTTCCGTATGTATACCTAAAATCCTCTTAGTCAGCTTGCTTAGGAGAGAAAAAGGCTTCGAGCTTCTTTTCAAAGTCGTCTCCAGCAGTGTTAAGGGGCGTGAGAACACATCCATACAATTGAACCACATCGCCTCGACTCCCGCACACTTAATGTCGACATCTTCCTTGTTTTTCTCAGCTTCCAAAAAGCAATCCCTCAAAGCCGTACATTGTTCTTCGCAACCACCTCCTTTCATGAATTCTAGAAACTTCTCTTCTAATATTTCTTCCCTCTCTGCGTCTCCTTCTTTTGTTTGATCCAAAATGGTTGACGGAAGGAAGATGGCTTCTATATCCTTTGTCAGCTGCTCCTCACTAGTCTCTATACAAGTCTCTATCCGTGAGATAATGGGCTCATAGTAATCAGAGTGAGCGTTCATACATTTCTCTAGTGCTTCCTTATACTTGGGCTCCTCGTCTTCAACGCAATAAATTAAATCCAAATATGATTCTTTGCAAGCACCTCCTTCCATGAAATCTAGGAATCGAAATTTCCAATTATCACTTGACGAGTCTCCCAGTTCCTCTGACGGGGCTTGGTTATTTTCAGATTTGGGATCCGAATTCTGTGGTTTCAGATTCGTGGATGACATGATCCCCAATGCCGTGAGAGAGATCGGATCTTATGGAAACCGATTTTCGTTTCAAGGGTTTTAGGCAGACAGCCTTGTGTATTCTTCTTATTGACAAGCCTACCAAAGACGCATACATTTTTATATTAGGGATTTGAGCTTTTGCTTGCAACTCAAGGCTTTTACAGCAGAGAGAAAAGGAAATATAAAGAAGAGAGAAAGGTAGGTGTATATATCCAGAAATTGGTAACTATCCAATAAAAGAAGAAACGAAGTTATTACATGTGTAATCGAAACTTATATGTCAATTATTCCTTAATTTATACGAGAGTTAAAAGTAATAAACTTATTGATAGATATAGGCCTAGCTAGTTAGGTTCTTCGTATCTTTGACAGGCCCAAATTCATGAACATGATTGAAAAAACCCTTGGACAAGTGTGCTATAAGTAATTGTATTAGCAACAACTCCTCTTATAGACATTTTGCGGAAGAGTTCCAAACCATCATCGACCAGCTTAGCCTTACAATAACCCTTTATAAGGATACTATTAGTCACGATATCAGGATCACACCCTTTGCTAACCATCAAACTCAGCATCTGGTTGGCCTCATCTAGCCATCTAGACGATTCTCCTTGCAAAATCCATCTATCAAGGAATTATATGTAATAGTATCCAGAGCTATGCCTCTGGTGATCATCTCCTTGTGCAGTTCTTCGGCCTCTAGAAGTTTTCCCTCTTTCACAAAACTATCAATCAAAACACTGAATGTGACAACGTCAGGGGTGATTCTCCTTGTGATCATATCCCTCAGCAACTTGGCACCATCATTCCATCTACCGGCATTACAAAAGCCTCCTATGAGATTGGTGTAGGTAAAACCATCTGGTTTGATCCCTTTCATTTCCATTTCATTGAAAAGGTTGAGTGCTTCGTCGAGGTTCCCATCTTTGCAAAGACTATCAATGAGGATATTGTATTTGGCTGCATCGAGCTTGATATTTCTTTCTTCCATCTTTCTGAGCAAATCCAAGGCCAGGGCAGTTTTACCTGACTTGCACATTACATTTAAAACCGGTCCATACGTAACTGCATTGGGTTGAAAACCACTTTCCACCATTCGTTCAATCAAAACCACCGCTTCAGAGACTTTAACTTTGAGACAAAGTCCATTGATCAGAGTGCTAATCGTTATGAGAGTGGGTTTATGTCCCATTCCTACCATTCGATCAACTAATTCAACCGCTTCAGAAACTCTACCCTCAAGACATAAACCATTGAATAGAGTGTTAAAGATGACTGTGTTAGGCTCATACCCAAGCTTCATGATCTTCCCCAAAGCAGAAAAAGCATAACAAGTTTACGACAGCGACAGAAGCAATTGATCATAATACTCAAAGTGTAGTCGTTATGCGCAATTCCCTTCGATTCCATTTGCTTGCAGAGATCTAACACTAGATCATACTGTTTCGTTCTGGCAACGGCACTAAACAATTTACTGAAATCAACAAGACTAGGAAGAGGACGAGACCCGATCATTTCTTGGAACAGAGCAATAGCATCATCTTTCTTAATATCAACAATCCCACTTCTCAATCTCTCTCTATAAGACAGATTTCTATCGCTGAAACCAGAGAAGCCGCGTTCGCAACAAAAGAGTAGCTCATTTGGGCAATGAGATAAAGCATTTCTCAGAGTACCTGTCTCGAGGAGACGAGGCTGAAAAAATTTCGAAGCTTGAGGACTCAATCTCCGTATCATCAACTTCATCATCTCAACCTGAATCGTGCCTTTTTCAATCTCTCTGTGTGACGAGCTTTAGCTTAGAGACTAAAGAAAGAATACCCAAAACACTTATCGATTAATCAAACCTATACCGGAATTGGTTTAGCTGAGTTATACGGTCCAAACCGGTTCACTAATATAGCCCACAAGTTGTTCGGTGAAATGCTTCCGAGACCTGTTGTTTCATAGAAACTATCTTTTTTCGCGTCGTACGCTTGAGAGTATTAGTCAGAGTCGGTCAAAACTAGAGCAAATTCAACAACACTGGTTTAAGTTGTTCTTCGTCTAGTACAAATATGTTTATGATATATATGAAAAAGGGACAAAACTCTGAATTTAAATTAGTAATAATAGTATCTGAAAATTACATCTTTAGATCTTCACCTTATAATAGCTTTATCTTCCTCAGTGACAACAAGCTCTCCATCAACAAACTCACAATACAAGAAAGGCAAACCAAGCTGCTTCTCCATCTTCTTCACTATGAACACTTGTGATTCCTCACACACTGTTACCACCGTCCCTTTCCTTCCCAGCCTCCCTGTTCTCCCAGCTCGATGAGCATAGTGAACCGCATCAGTTGGAAGCTCAAGATTCACCACCAGATCACATTCTGCAACATCAAGACCCCGAGCAGAGAGCTCGTTAGTCACGAGCACCTTGATTTCCCCGTTCTTGAACTTCTTTAGAACTGTTGATCTCCCTAGCTTCCCGAGATCTCCGTGCATCTCCGCTGAATTCATACCACGAGCTTCGAGTTTGTAGACCACGTCTTTGAGCTGCCTTGAGTGATTCATGAAAGCTATAACCGATTGGGCGTCGAGGGCGTGAACGCATCTCCTTAACGTGTCGACTTTGTGTTGATGTTTTGAGATGCAGTAATAGTGTTTTAAAGCTGGAGGTAAGCTCTGAATAGTAGTCTGAATCTGGCCATTAGCCTCAGAAGTTGTGGGAGTAAAGCTTATTACTGGTGCAGATGGTTGAACGGTATCAAGAGGCGTGACTTTGTTGGCTTGGACAAGAACGGGCTCGTGACTCCAGCTCTTAGCTGCTCGGATAACAGAGAATGGCACAGTTGCAGAGACTAGAATTGTCTGCCGGTTAGCACGTTCATCCACTTCCCCTTTAGGACCAGCCCCAGATCTCTTTCCTACATGTTCAAGTATTCGATGGATATCTTCTCGGAAATTAAACGATAAAAGCTCATCGACTTCATCTAGCACCAAGAATCTACAACCATGAGTGTGCAATTTCCCACTTTTGCTTATCTCTGCAATTCTCCCGGGAGTGCCAACAACAATTGCAGGTTTATTTTTCTTAAGGGCCTCTTCTTGCCTCATTCGGTTCGCACCTCCAACCAACTGCTGAACCATTCTACGGTGAACAGGTCCGAGCAGTTTCTCTACCTCTCTTACTATTTGCATACCGAGTTCTCTTGATGGAGCTACGATCATTGCCTGAATATCTGTCCTCTTATCATTTTCACTGTGCGAGCTTCTAGATTTTTCTGCTAGAGGACCAATTTCGGATAATATAGGAAGTAGATAAGCTAAGGTTTTGCCAGATCCTGTGTAAGACTGAATCACTGCATCGTGACCTTTGATTATTGCCGGGACAGCTGCGGATTGGACATCTGTTGGAACAGAGAAACCTTCTCTTTCCAAGCTGTCTAACAATGAATCTGGGAGGCCAAGCTCCTCAAAGGATTTTGCAGAAAACAAAGGCGACACAATCTCAGCTGGTTTCTTTTCCTTGACTACTTTCATTTTATCGTTCCTTACCGCTTTTAGCTTACCTTGACCCATTTCAGTAACAAAACTTCCCTCAAGCTTCATCGCCTTACTCTTCCCAAATTTACGAGGTTTGTTCCCCAAATCAAGGCTTGCAAGAGTAAGAGACCCGTCTTCTTTCGCAACATGGCATAAAAAACGAGATTGGCGGTAGAAATTAGTTGCAGCAGAATTCCAAGATATCTTTCTGAAGGCAGAAAACTCTTTGAGCAGAACAAGGAATCGGGTTGAAGCAGATGCCGCCATGTCACTCGTGTGTGCTTGCTAACAAGGAAGAAAGCCTATTTATCACAGCGTTTGCTCTCAAAACAGCCTGAAAAGTACATGGAATCCACATTAGAAAGCAATAAGATGTACTATTCGCAGATACACGGAAAAGGTTGAAGTAAATGACAACAGCTTTGTTGATTTAGTAGACAAACTACTGAAAATTTCGTAAATCTAGTAATACTGAAATCAAATGAGATATTATCTAAAAGGAATCAGCTTTATCGAACGCCAAAAAATATTAAGAAACAAGCCAAGCCAATAAAAAATGAGGCAATTCGTCGAACACCTGGCGGGCATGAAAAGCATCATCACCTAACAAGCAAATTTAGCAGCAGGTGGCAGTTTACACAACAGAAACCCACTCTACTCCGGCCAAAAGCATTCTAATAAATCAGGGAGCGAAACCAAAAAACTCGGATGCATTCTAAATGGCTAACATATATATATCAACACTAGAGATAAGATAGTGTCTGAGGCCAAAGGCTGAGAAAGATTGTAGCTTTAGCAATAAGAGAATGAGAAATTAAATGGTCGTATCAAAGCCATAGATGAGGAGATATAAAAAAGAAAGTCACCTGATAATAGTCTCCATGAACGATACGAAGAGAACAACTCTTGCGTCTTTACTTCTCTTCACAAGTCTCACACAGTTTCTGGATAAAAGGATCTGCTCTAATTTCACCAAACCGGACAAAACAACCGGGTCTGCAGATAAACCGGTACATTCTCGGTTTTCTTTACCGTATATGGGACTTCAATAAAATTCAGGTACTCAAATTTTGATTTGTTTTGTTCCAAAATTCTCTTCAGGTTCTGGACTCGAATTTGATTTGTATTGTTCAAATTTTGTCTAACACACTAAAACAAAAGTTCTAATCCGATTCGGTTTGATAAGTAATTCCGATTGTATTTATTTCCAATTTCAATTTTCATTAGTGATGGTTTGTTTGAGCTAGAAATGATATCATTAGGCCTATACTTAAGCAAGAGGACGAAAGAACAAACTTCCAAGACTTTAAATTAACAATCAAAATCGTCATTGACACATAACTAAAGATCTAAGATGATGAAAATCTCTAACAATTCGAGGTCGACTGAGAAAGAGGTAGTACAAACTACAAAACATTGGTTTCAAGTGAAAGAGGATAGATACAGATAGATGTACAGACCTGATTAGTTTCCAAACCAAAAAACAATACAGACAAAAGTATAATAATTTGTATAGATATCATTATCATATCACAAACAATGCATCATATCTAAAAAACAAACCAGTCTTGTTTTTTACCTTAACCCCAAGTCTCCTGATCAAATGTTGTGGGTCATGAACACGTAAAGCTGTTTTTTCTAGACTTCCTCTCGATCCAAGTTGCTACTCTTGAGGATGTTGTATTTGCAGAGTGGGCAAGTCGCGTTGATGTATAGCCATTTGTCTACGCACGAACAGTGGAAATGGTGTCCACAAGGTAGTTCCCTTAGCTCTGTTCCATCTTCATATGCAGAGAGACAGATGCAACATTCCTGTAATGCGGAATCATAAGAATCAAGAAGCAAGCATATATAGGGTATGTTAGTAGTGGAGGAGAGATTGGTGTGTTATAGTGTATACTTACTGCATCCTCTTGCAATAGAGTATGTTCAATGGGTGAATCTGTACCACACTCAGTCATTATTCCCTCGGTAGTTCCTTGGGCTTCATCACCAGTGTGTCTGTTAGCATCACCTACTTTGCGAAACTTGAATTTGGTGAGCTGCTCAATGTCTTCTTTTGAAGCCCCTTCCTGCATTTTTATTGCGTTGTGTTAAAACAAATAGCACAATGTGGCGACTTAGGATACAAGAGGGAATTGGTTATGAGAAGTACCTGATCTGCAACAGCGTACAAAACTGCAATGATGCATGGCAGGCAACAGCAAACAGCAATTCCAATAACACAGGCCAACGCAACACAGAAGACAACAAAAAACACATCGAAACCAAGAAAGACAATAGACAGCCTGAAATAAGCAAGACATTCAGTAGTGGAATAGGTTAACACTTATGAAAACTAGAGATGGAGGGATATAACAAACCAGTAAATCCGAGGGGATTCTTGTGCCAACTCTTGGCCACCAGCAGATACCCAGTAGAATCCAATGATCCACCATATAAAGGAAAACATTGTATTGGCAGATTCCAGATGTTTTGCAACACTGCTTTGGAAAACGGTACGCGAAATAAGAAAACATACCAAAACAATTGATGGGTAACATCACATTTTCTATATAGGTTTGCATTTATACTCAATGCATCAAGGAATAGATCAGATACACTTTGTGTAAAAGGTGCAGACCAGAGTATTGATAAGAAACCACTACAAGTTGGAGAAGATAACAGAATAAGCAAGTAATTCGATCATCCAAAACCAAAACTCCATCTCTTAAGTCATTATCCAATATTTTCTTTCATCAGCAAAAAGCTCACAGGTCATGCAAGTATCCAACACATACCTGCTGCTTTCGGTATCCAAGTGGCCGAGGGACAAGTCCTGCTCACCTGAATTCCTCCTGGAACCCAAAGCATCTTCCTCCAAGGAAGAAGAAGATGAAGAGGAAGAAGAAGAACGTGAGCGTGGAGTCGTCGTCGTCCTATTGGTTCTCCTCCTATTCCTCCTCCGATACTCAACACACACACAAACCATATGCAACACGCATTGCAAAGCATACCCCAAAAGCCAAACTCTAAGCGGCATAATCGGATGTTCATTCCTGCTCATCACCAAAATAGCCGTAGCAACCGAAACAAAAGCCAGATTCCACACGATATCAAGAACCACCACAGGCTTCGAATAAGCCCAATCGCTCTGCCTCTCCTCAAGCTGCTCCGCCGCGGCTTCCCTCACAAGCATAGAAGGCTCACGCATCACACGTCCGCTACTAGCACGACTTAGAAACCTCGCGGCTTCTCTCAACCCTTGTCTCCTAACAGATCTCCGTTCCCCACCTCCTCCTCCTCCTACGTTGCTTCCTTCATTATCCTCGCCGCTTAAAAGCAACGGTGCTGGATCGATAGCGTCGGAGGATGATGCTGATGATGCTGGAATCGATGAGGAATTCCCCGTAGTAGTCTCCGTTGACATTGTTTCTCTCCTTGCGTTTGATTCTTCAACCAAAAAAAGAAACTAAATTGTTGAAATTCGTGTAGCGTTACGCCATAAAAAGGAGAAGATTCAATCAGCGAAAACGAAATTGGAACTGCTAGGGTTTCAAGCGTGTAAAGAAAGAGGAACGAAGAGAAGAGAGAGAGATGATGATCATGAAGGTGATGATGATTAAGGAAAATTAACAGAAAAATATCTCTCAATTGAATATTATTTGAATTGTTTCATGTGGTCCCCTTAAAGTCAACAGTCAACAACCGGACAAAATGAAGCGGGGTCTATACAATAAATGGGCCACGAGGTGATTATATTAACTTGACGATTAATGATGATGTGTCTCTTATATTTAAGGCCCATCAAAGCAATGTCGTCTCGACTTCAACTTCAACCTTTTGCGTCGGAGGTAGATATGGGAGACTATTGGTGAGCTTCATTGTTCCATTTCTGTGTAGCAGCACTTTATATTTCAGTGTTTAAGGTAATTTTGTTACGGATAATATGATTCAATTTAGGAACTTATTGTGAAATTTTGTAATTTGATTGTCTGATTGATATGTTTTGGGTTTTTGATGTTAAATATTGTTTTAAAGTGATGAAGTATCTCAATGCGGTATATCGAAGTCATTTGAGATCAATGTGTGACTGTGATTTGTTCATAGAAGAATTTGCATCTGCTGATAGTTATTAAGTTATATCATATGTTATCGGTTAATGGATTCTGTCTCCCATCTTCTTTGCTTGTTCTCAGGGTCTTCATGAATTTGTCACTATACATGAAAGTAATCCTGAATTTTCGATAGAAAGTTAGTCGCTTAGCTCACGTCGTTTTAATCTTCTCTGTATATTACACTGTTGTCTCACTTGTCTCTTTCTGTTTTGGTTCCTAAAACCAGCATGACATCTCGAGCACACCATGCTATGAGGAGTACAATGGAGATCGGTTTTTCATCTGACAAAACGTCGACAATGTGGGATTTTCTAACAGTTGAAAGCGCATCAATCATGAATCTTCTTCGAAAGTTTCTTCCTTTTCAGGTCTGTGACTAGCCTTACCCACTTAACTTCAGAAAATAGGATCCTCAATGTATAGGAAGGGAAAATTGTTGATGCCTTTCATTGTCTACAATACGTTTATGATCCAACCTAGGTTATCGCGATTCACGACCCTTATATGAAAGGGCATCTGAAAACTAGACAGTTCACTAAAATATTTTGATCCCCACCTGACTTAAACTCTCCATTACCATTTTTATGAAAGAAAACTTGCATTCGTCTTGCACTAAAGTTTCTGCAGGAGATGGGATAATCCGTAAGCGCTCCTATGCGAATCTGCAATGGGGTTGAATCGTATCTCCAGCTACGCAGTCTTTTGCGTAAGCTAGCCCTTGTTCGAGAAACAGCTAAAGCAGGCAACCTAGTCAGGTAAATTCTGCAGGCTACCTATAACACCAGAGATGGTTAAGGTTCATTTTTACAACAGTTATATGCTTTCTACATTCAGATATAATGATATATATATATATATATATAGGAACTTTGTTGGTTAACCAAGTTTTCTAGTTTTTAGTTGAGAATAATTCTTGAAAGAAAGTTTCATGATCAGGTGTAGTTGACAAGGTATACAACTAAAAACTGAATCTATGAAGCTAAATCCTACCTAAACCATTGTGTTGAGAGGGTTACATTTCACCCTTGTAGTGATTCATTCGTAATTGTCCCGTATGGTTAACCGGACTTTTATTTGGATTGGTTAATGTTTGTGTTGATCCTGTAAACATCTGACGTGATCCGTTATTTTTGTCACGTAAATAGAATGGATAGTGCAGGCACATTATATGTAGAATCTATTATACTAAGTTTATTAATATGCCTTATTGACATTCCCCGTAGACTTTTCTCTCTCACATCAAACTTATTAACAAAGTAATACTCCAATAACAGAATCAATCAACATATTTAATATTTGAGTTCACGTCTGATTTATTTTCTCTCAGGTCTGAGATTTTTATCAGAAAGTTTAAGGAAAATATCTTGAAGGAGCTGCCACCACCGAGAAGAGAATTGAAGGTTAAAAACTTCTGCTTGAATCTCTGATTAATAGATACTCTGTTTCCATGTGTCCTGTCTTAATCTATTCTTCGTCTTTCATCTGTTGATTCAAACTTTGTGTTTTCTATTTATAGAAACATCAATTGTGTTCTTCATACGACGAGAGAAGAGAAAATGTCGAGTAGAGATATGGAGAGAGGTAGGAAACACAGAGGGGACACACAGTGGACGTCGTGGCTGACTCCAACAATTGTCGTGGCTAATGTCGCCATCTTCATCGTGGTCATGTTCATCAACGACTGCCCTAAGACAACCAGGGGAGCTAACGAAGATTGCGTGGCAAAGTTTCTCGGCAGGTTCTCGTTTCAGCCACTCAGAGAGAACCCTCTCTTGGGTCCATCTTCTTCAACGTAAGTTTCTAAAAACCTCGAAATCCCAATTTTTGTGAACTTGTGTTGTCTGTTTCAATTCCTAAACCCCCAAAAGTCTCTGTTTTTTCTCCAATGTTTCAAGATTTTGATTACTTCCTTACAAAATCAGGTTAAGGCTTTTGGGGGTATTTCAATAGTATCTTTCGTTTCATCTTTTTTTTTTCAAATTTGCGATCATTTGATGCCTCATTGGTATCTATGATTGCTTTGATTAGTTTGTTCATGCCATGTTGTATTCAAACAAACTCTGTTCTTGAGATCTTTTACTTTGTTGTCGAAACAACATGATTTAGGTCAAACAACCTGTGAATCCAAAGTCTAACTTTTATCTCTGAGGACATATTTGGATTTAAGATTATGAGCTTCATTAGCATTGGGGTCTGTAACTTTTGGAATTGTTGCGATACCATGCTATATCTGATATGTGATGATTCGAACCTGATGATGGTTTCAGATTGGAGAAATTGGGAGCTCTGGATTGGAGGAAAGTTGTGCAAGGAAATGAAAAATGGAGGCTCATCACTGCAATGTGGCTCCATGCTGGTATCTTTCACCTTTTTACTAATATGTTTAATGTGATCTTCTTCGGTATCCGCCTTGAGCAGCAGTTTGGCTTCCGTAAGTCTTTCCTATCACCGCTCATTTTACCAGCGATCCTCTCATTCTCCTGTTCTATTCATGTATTCAAAATGTCTTGTAAAACGATTCTGCAGTAAGAATTGGGCTCATCTACTTGATATCGGGATTTGGCGGAAGCATTCTCTCAGCTCTCTTCCTTCAAAATAGCATCTCTGTTGGTGCCTCGGGTGCTCTCCTTGGACTCATTGGAGCAATGTTATCCGAGCTGGTCATCAACTGGACTATCTACGAGAGCAAGGTACTGTATGTCCTGTTCATTCCCAAGATACAAACATTAACCGAAAATGTATAACATGATTACATTGCCTTGACGATTTTCTGAAATTTTCCAGCTATGTGCTTTGTTCTCGATCTTGTTCATCATCGCACTCGATTTAGCAATAGGTTTGCTTCCTTGGGTTGACAACTTTGCTCACATTGGCGGGCTCTTGACTGGATTTTTCCTTGGGTTTATCCTACTGATCCAGCCTCAGTTGGGGTGGGAAGAGTCCCGCAACTCTTCTCAGTACGGTGCACGTGCCAAATCAAAGTATAACCCGTGCCAGTACGTGTTGTTCTTTATTGCCGCTGTTTTGGTCGTCGCCAGTTTAACAATTGGGATAGTAATGTTGTTCAAAGGAGAGAATGGGAACAAACATTGCAAATGGTGTCATCGCCTAGACTGTTATCCTACTTCCAAATGGTCTTGTTGATATTTCAATCATTTTTACTGTAATGAAAAAGTAAAAAAAACATCTTAATTTACAAAAAAAAACAACTGTTCTTATTACTCTCTTTCTGAAATTAATTGTACTTTTCTTTTTAATTGTAACTAATTTATACTGAATTTTTTGAGTGGGTATGATTTTGTGTTTATCTTAGATCGATCATTTAAGAAAACTGTTATGGACTAGATTCATTATTAAATATAGATGCATAGAAACACTAATTTAGAAAGTTCGCATAATAAGATTTGATCAGAACTTAGTTTAAAGTACATGTCATGTCTGTGAATTAATACTATACATAATAGTTTCTGACAAAATTGTGTATTCACCTTTATAGCTGATGATTCTCAGCCTTTAACCTAAGACAAATCTTCCCCTTTTCACTTATTAGGGTGTTCAAGATTAATTATTACAGTCTCAGAAAATGTATAACGTATTATCATCCTACCAATTCTTTACTAATTAAAAAACATTCTCTAGTCTCTCTTTTTATGGAGTTTGACATGGTAACCATTTGGAAACTGTAATCCTGGAGTTCGAACTATATTCCCTCCTTTAATCTCCTCCCACCTGTATTTTGTTACCAAGCTGTGAAGAAACGCAGCCATCTGCAATTTCGTGAAGTCGGTTCCAACACAGAACCTCATACCGCCACCAAAGGCCATGAAGTGCTTTGATGCATTAGTAACTTTTGATCCCTGTATTGTTTGATTAGTTTTTGTTAATATTATTTTTACTTTACTTGGAGTAGAAGTTACTATTTGAGGTATGACCACTCACCTCCCATCTTGATGGATTAAAGACTAAAGGATCTTTATACATTTCTGGATTCAAATGTACAGCTGGTGGACAGACCATCACCGCCCAGCCGGCTGGAATTGTATAATCTGCATCATTGACAAACTCTTAATGATAATATAAGATAAAAGAGACACTTAATCATTGAGAATGTTATTGTCCCTTTATTTAATCATACCTTTGAATTTTATATCTATCAGCGCCTTTCTGAAGATTGCAGGAACTATATTTGCTAGTCGCGCTGTTTCGTTTATGAACTGCTTATAAAATTTTAAGACTTAGTATCAGCTGGATTTTGTATTTGACACTAAGGAAGTTATCATACTTTCATAAAAGATATAAGCAACCTGAAATGTGTAAGTCATTGACTTGTATTCTTCCCATGTAAGTCCAGAGTCAGCATCTTCCCGGTTTCTCAGAATTGTCTCATGTTCTTCCTGATGAAGATGAACACAGTTTAGCTTTTTGATAATAATTAACCATAAAAATGTCACTTTCTTGCTTATGTTTGTATCCTCTGACTAACCGTTAAACGCTTTAGGACTGCAGGGTCATCTGAGAGAAACTTGATGGCTAAAGTTATAGCCAGAGATGTTGTTTCAAAGCTAGCAAATAGTAAGACAAACATCAAATCCAGTGCAATCTCTTCTGTCAGAATTGTCCCCTCTTTCTGAATCTCTTCAATAACATAATCAAAGAAATCACTTGGGTTCTTCCGCGGTTTCTTACGCCTCTCTTGAAGCATATTCCTCAACATTTTCATTGCCTTTTCCCTACCCTGCAAAGCAAGTTTCAGGCATTAGTACCAAATATGAGAAAGGCTTAAAGAATGAATATTGGTATTCAAATGATGATGATTCGTACCTGTAGACATTTGTGATAAGCTGTTCCTGGGATGTCAAAAGGGAAAGAGATTAATCCCTGAATGAAAGCAACAAAATTTGCCCTTAGATTCTCTGATGACTTGTCTGGATCATGGCTGATCAACTTCTTCGCGGTGAGATCAAATATCATCTGATAAAATGTGTGATATATACCAACATGTTAGCACAACAAGGAATAAATCATTTTAGGATTTATTTTTGAATGAAACTCACGCTTGCGGTTGCATCTTTGAGTTCTACTGAATCCTGATTTGACCAAAGCTCCAACCTCTTATTAGCAGTCATTTCGACTTGAGGAAGCATCTTCTTGAGACCATCATGGCCAAAGAGAGTCAAAACCATGTTTTTAAGGTACTTGTACATGAAACCATGTAGTGATCCCACATTCTTCTCCCCAAAGATGTGGGTAAAAGTGTCTGGATACCAACTCTGGAAACAACGACCCTCTTGGTTAAACACAAAATAACTCAAATCAGCATCTGTTGATACAATAACTGGTCTCCCCACGAGATTGGTCTTGAAAATTGGACCATACCTGCACATATCAACATAAGTACTTTTTAAAAAACTCTATGTACACACATAAGCATTAATCACATTGCTTTGAATGAGAGTTTGAATGAGAGAAGAAAGACACTTACTTCTTAACTCTTTCTTTGATAAAAGGAGGGATGTCTGAAGTTTTGTTTGGCTTGAAGAATTGGATAGTCTCGCCGAGTAACGGGAAACCCATGGAACCAGGTGGAAGCTTACCTCTGCATTTAGGGTTCCTCCAACTATAAACCCAATGTGTGATACTTATGAGAAGCAGAGTAACCCAAATGAACAATGCCCACATCACAGTAATACAAATTTAAGAAATATTTTGATTTGTTTTGATATGAAACTACAAATGAAACTTTCTTTTTTTTCCCCTCTGACTTCTTCTTGGGTTTGTGTTCTTTAGACAGAAACTGAAAACGTGGAGAGGAGAGAGACAAAGAGAATGGAGAAGAAGAATCGAAAAGAAAGAGAAGTTGAGTGCTGGCCCATCTTCGTCAACCATTATGTGAGTGCTTAAATAGGCAAGGGCAAGTCTCTAGACATAACTCATTAGATTAATAATATATTTCTCAAATGTAGTTGCAGAATGAGAAAAGGTTTAAGCATTTAAAAAAAAAAAAAAAAAAATCTTTTTAGAGAAACCATATATGATTCATTATCCGTGTGAAAGGGCAGCTTTTCTAAAGTATAAAAAAAATTCAGGAAATATGATAAGAAGGTTCCTCTTTCCTCCTAGTTTATTGTGTCTCATATGGCATTAAAACACAAGTCTGAACATTTAGGCAAGTTTTCAGCTTCATTTTAGGAGATCATCATTTTGTGGGCTCTTCCACTCCATAAGATTTGGTAATAAACTAATGATAATAGTAAAAAATTGATGTTGTAACTTGAAATTTGAGACTCTTGGTTACCAGCTTTGCATTATTGACTTTATTGTTGTTTATCTTTCTTAATTTCATCCCATATCTAACATTCCAGTATCTAATACAATCTTTGACACCAGGGAAGCAAAATAAACTAACTAATAAAGTGCATTTCAGTTTGTTCTCATTCATGCTCAGAATCTCTTTATAGATCTTCTTGTCATGTGTTTTTAATCATTATCTTCAAATACTTAAATTTCCCACTGGTCAAACTCAAGATCTTGCAAAATAATACATACATCAGCTTTTAGATCCTGTTATCAACCACTGAATCTGCAAGTTCTCTTGTCCAGATTATAATTAACCTGAGAGTTGAATCATACTATCATTATTATCTTCTTTTTTTGGCTTTAAGTGTGTGTGAGACATATAGCATCAGACGGCTCTTGGGACCCATCAGGTTAAACCAATCAAAGAACAATATGTGTTTTAGCCATTGAGCCACGGGCTCACTCAGGATTTATGCAACAAACCATGCAATTCTCTCTACTTGATACCCACAAAAACTCAACTAGGTAGGTTACTGTGAAATACTTATCCATTATTATTGATCACTTTTCTCAGTAATACAGTGAGTGTTACATCATTGGTGACAAAAAGTGGTTCATTCATCAGTAATCCTGGGTCAAAAAAGACAACTTTAAAGTTTGGACCTAGAAACTACTGTATACACAGGGTTGATTATAAGACAAAGCCTATGAGCTTAGAACTGCTTTTATAGGGAAAATTTAAATACGAAACAGTAATATTAACATTATTGGCATTGCTAGCAAATCCAACATTGAGTTTTAGGATTAGGGTTTGATTGATGTGTTTGTGTATGATAGGCAGATTTCTTACTAGGTGGAGAAATCCAAAATAGTAACCTCATTAGGGTTTTAGTTAATAAAAAAAGTTGAAAGCATAATTAATATATAGATAGACGCGACTCATTAGAGTATTGAGATGTGATTGCTAGGGGGATGTACCAAGATAGAGACAACTCAATATTCAATAAGCTATTGTTTTTGTTTAAATTATCTTGTTATGTGCTTAATATAATATATAACAAAAGTAACAAATTCATCAAACCTAATATATTAGTGTTGTAAATATCTTCGTTTCTTTTGGGTATAGATAGGGTAGTCGTATCTAAGATTTTACATTTGCACTAGAATATGAATAATTTAATATAAACTAGTTGCTCAAACAAATTTAATATTATCTATAGTTGCTCAAACCGATTCAAATTGCCTTGTTTTGCAATTTTTTGTACTTTTTTTTAATTATTATTTTGTGATTATAGCTTGAGAATTTTGAAAATTTGAACTTGATAACAAGAAATTTTGATGGTTAAAAGTTAAAATTAAAGAGTTAGAAAATTAATTATTGGTCGGAGCTGTTCCCTGGTTAGACTGAAGTTGCTTAGAGTGCACTTGGGTCCTACATGTTCTGCTCTATAACGTGGCATAAACTTATTGGCTGTGAAAGTTGGCCACGTGATATATATCTTCGTATTGAAAATATATTATACTTCTTGTAATTTTTGCTGTAATTTATTTGTTTATTTTTAATTTACGTTTACAAATTTGAAAAGGTATTTAAAATGTGTAAACGTAAAGAGTATATTCATTAGCCACTACTTATCTTATATTTTCATAATAAGCATTGAATCTTTTTTAGTCTAAACATTTATATCGATTTAGCCACTCAGATAAATCGAGCAGCAAATCAACATTTTGTGTTGATAATTAAACCGTTGTTGACCATAGTGTTAGCATTTCACCAAGCTTAAACCTCTAATCTAGAGTTAACTAAGATAACATATTGTCCTATTTAACAAAATACAGAAATATATCTATATTATCAATGGACAAATTGAAAAAGAAAAAAAAATGGAAGGTACGTAGGTCTCAACCCCGGCTCATATGGGTGGGGCGGAGGTGCGACGGCCTAAGGTTTTTTATTTTTAATAAAAATTTTACATATAAAAAAGGTTCAAATATTTTTAAAAAAAATATTAGTATGAGAATTATATTTCAAGAGGCCTAATTCTTTAAAAAATATATATAAAAAGGCTTAAAATTTTAATATAACAATTTTTACTGTAAACAATCTGCAATTCTTAAAAAAAAATAGGTAAATTATTTTTTTATATATAATAATAGGCCAAAAAAAATTTTTTGTCCTAAGGCTCTCAAATATATTGGGCCGGGGCTGGTCTCACTTTAGGTGCTCTGCATCAAATATACATGTAGAGTGTTATTCTTTATCAAAACAAAGATTTTTGTTAGAAGTTTATTTTTGTTGATGAACTATTAGTCTATTACAGATACTGTATATCATATATTAGTATATACTAATTAATAATAAATAGTATATAGGAGATACAGAAACTTATTTTAAATAAATAGAAATAAGACAGTGATCAAAGATAATTGAAGCTACACGAGGATTCGAGAGAATTGTGGAGAAAGTTCGTTAATCTTGTCTGTGCCGTACGCATGGGGTAAGCCCTTTTATATTAAATTTTTGTTTTTACTGTGTTTTAACTTTCAAACGAATTATACAGCATATAACACAAAATAAAGAACCAAAGTAAGAATGTTTATCTTCACTGTGATTCTGATATAATTGAATGCCTAGAAATCATTTATCACCTCCTTTTTTTATGAATGTGACAAACCAAATGATTTGATTTGTTAATGATTAATAAGGGAAGGGTAAGTCACCTTTTGGGACAACCTTGACGAAATTATTTTTTGTTGATAATATTATTTTTATTCTTTTGTCAACTGTTAATAATTGAGTGAAACATAAAAGACACAATAAGGACTTGAGTAAAGTAGACCATAATTTAACCCCATGAAGGAAGAGAATATACCAAGGAACAGCCGAACAAATCCGTCTCTACCCCTAAGCAAGATAGACAAATGCCAAAGATCCAATATTAGTTTCAAAAAAAAGTTTCAAGAAAAAGATCTATTATATATTGAGAAGGTATTGTCAAGGAAAAGAGCTAAGACCACCATTAATGGTGGCCTCTTAAAGAGTTCTTAACAAAATCTTAGATCAAAAATTAATAATAAAACATGTAAAATACTAAGAAAAGTGTCTTAGTTAATAACCATTATTCCTAAGAGCCATTGTTAAGAAACTTTTGATAATCATGTCTTAAAAGACCTTAACCTCAAGTCCCCAAGCCGGAAACGCTCCTGCGTCCTGGCTAGTGGCTACGTCGATTAAAGACTGGTTAATAAAAATGTGAAAGGGCAAAAGATATAATATGTTTGGTATATTTAAACAAAAAATAAAAGTCATTTTAGGTTAAAGAAAATACAAAAAGACAGATTTGGTCGTACGTGTCTGCTTGTCTCCGTAGCTAGGGTTTGACCTTTCATAAAAGTAAAACGCCAGTCGTGGGGGGAGTCACATATCGAACCAACCATAGTTCTAGACTTCTAGTTCTCATTTTTAGTTTTTTTTCTTCTTTTTTTTTGTCTTACGTAATTTTAATCCTTCGTTTGTTAAATCATTCAAGTCACGTTACGTAGCAGTTTAACACGAGTGGTCTATTGGATTTGTCGGATTTCCGCTAGCTAATTTATTCGGAATAAATTTTGAGCCATACAAATTATAAAGGTTTTTTTTATACTAACGAATAACGATGCATGCTATTAATTAAGATAGTCAAAATATTAGTTTTTTAAACCACAGCTAAAAATTGAATAACAGGTCTGATGACCCAAAACTAGGAGAAAATAATTTATAAATTTTCTAAAACCTAGAACTACGGACGAAACGGCAGGCTATTCAATTATAACTAAGTAACTAACCATAAAAATATAAATTAATTACTTAGATAAATACTCTGAAGTTATTATATATGAAAAAGGACACTCGTTATTTGTTTAATAATACAAAGTGAATTTGGTTGTACTGTTTCGTAAGCAATTTCGCTGTTACTTAATACAAGTCAACGAAGATTCTGTGGTATTGTTATAGTATTTAACATATAGATAATCCATTATAATTATAAGAAAAAAAAAAGCCTCACCGTGGAATGTGTATATATGAGTATTATATACTTCAAACAACACAACATGTCTAAGATATATCGCAGCTATTATGTACATTATTTTAGTGAAATTGTTTTAAGACACTTACGATTGTCAATTAGTGTTTCCTAAAGAATAAAAATATTAGCAACTCGATCGAGAAGAAAATTGTGGGCGAAGTAAAATAATTGGCATTGCGGTAAGCAATGACCAAAAAATTCGTCATAAATCAGGAGCCTAGGGAACCATGCATGATTACATGAATATCATTTGATTATTATGCACTTATTTGCATAACATATACGTTTAAAGTTGCATGGCATTAATTGTTTTTATAGTATGAGATTGGTTTAAAGTTTAAATTTTATTTATGCATATAATTAATTGATAATCTTAACTCCAAAAGTGCTGATTTGTTTTGTTCGCACTTCAAAACCACGTGATTTTGCACTTGTCATTAAGGTCCACCCAACTTTAAATTAACCGCTGCATCTAACAAAATAATATTCTCTGTAGCTCTATAATTATATTTTCTTCTATATATAATGAATATGCAAATATTTTTTCTTGTTAAAAGGCTTTAAAAATGCAAATATTTGAATGAAGTTTTTTTTTTGTCCTCTCATCTTTGAAATCAGAGATGTTTTAACTGTAACCCATACTAATCGGATTTTTGTACATTACTACTCAAATTTCTCATTAGACCATCACATCTAAGTTATTTCTATTTTTTTTCTTTATCTTTACAAAATTAATAAATGAAATAGAGAAATATACAGTGAATAAGGATAAAACTAACTTCACTGCAAAAAGCTATGAACATTATGAAAAACATTTAACACAACAATCTACTTAACCAAGGAATCGGAGCTGAGTGGTCATCGACGTAAAATATGTGTCGTCTCATTTGGTTTGGATCTCCGAGTTTGAAGCCTTGTTAAAACTGTGCAACTACAATCACTAGTAAATGTGACACTTTACGACTAAACCAGTCTACTCCCTAATACATGTTGTTCGACGTTTTTTGGCTTCTGCGTTTGGCCAAAGAAGACCACTAGTTTTGCCACTAGTTTATGGTTAGAGACTCTTATAACCGAACATTAAAAAATGGCTATAATGGCTCAGTTCTTTGTCATTTCTGAAGTAGCTTTCTTCAGCGCCTGGTCATGGTTGAGCATTGCGTTTACACTTTTCTCCACAAACATATACTGAAAAATAATACAGCCAAAACCATAAACCCGTAAACAACAAACCAAATTACAAAGATCAGACCCTTAAAAAGAAAAATAACAAGTCAATCTTTGATTGATATTTCATGAGTCAATGAGGTCAAGGTTTTAGGCTTTTAACCTGAAAGCACGCGTAGCCCATAGCATTTCCGAAGTAAAAGTTTGCATTTCCAGTTCCCTGTAAAGCCAAAAATCAAATGGGTTCTAATTTGGAAGTTTTGTTATTAAATAGCAGAATGGTTTCTTTTAAAGTTTTATTGTGATTGAATTGAGTTGAGGTTCGAAGCTTTACCCTCCATATCCAGATATTGTGCATCACAGGGCTGAGTAGCGAAAATCCAATATATCCACAGAAGATAAAGAACGAGTGCTCCATGTCTAACGTTTACACAGAAGCCGAGTTAGATGTGAAAAGCTCATGATGGTTCAAGATCATATAGAAAGAGATGAGAAGGAATTTGTTTCACTACCTGTTAATTCATTGACAAACAATGCCCATAAACTCAAATATAAAGCTGCATCTCCAACCTAGTGATGAGATTAAGGAATAGATTCAAGATTTAAGATTATATGAACAGAAAGCTTTTTCAAGAAAGATACAAATATTGTTTCATAGTGAAGTTAAAATACTTACTGAAGGATAAGATTTTAGAATCGAGGAGAAGGCTAAATAAGCGAAAGCAAGGAAGCAGGGCCGATGTTTTAACCGGAAGGCTAACGGTGGTATCCCCGTAAGCAGAATATATAAGTTAAAAACTATCAGGAGATAATTTCTGGAAAAATCAAAGACTTCTGCGAAGAAGTACCTGAAAAATGAGATAGAAGGCGGATGCATATGTGAAGATATACAGAAACTAGAATTGCTCTATAAAGATTTGAATTAGACTTACCAAAAGACACCAATGTTTGGGGACAGATCTTCGATTCTGAGAATGAAACCATATGTCCTACAATAGGAGACATAAGCACAAACATGTTCAGCATTAATACTGAAATTGTAATATATAATTTGAGAAACTGAGTTTTGCTCCTGTATATGCCAACGGATATTCAGGTTATGACACAAAAATTGAGATTTCACAGATAAGTAGTACCTTTTGAACATCTCTTCAAGTCCACCATATTGTTTCAATGATAAGCTGCACAGAACCAACACATAGCTCGACCACACCAATACCCAAAATACGAAATACAAGACTGTTCTCCATAAGAAAAGTTGTGTAGTCTGAGTCAACTTGTCTTGTTTCGAAACATCAGAGGTTGATCCTGTCGTCTCAACTCCTACATGTCTTGTCTGAAGGAATTTTTTTACAGGAGGGGCATCTAAACCATATCCCAACAGAAAGATCAACTGAGGGAAACACAAGAGCAATTAGAACGATTCCCCTGATAAACTTGAGATTGAGATACATGAAACAAAACGACAATGTAAATGAGATTATGCGTACTGGAATCGCTAAAGTTGCTGAATAAAGAGACAAGTGTGTGGCCATGACTAACCCAAATGCAGCCAGAGGAACTCGTCCTGCAAAGGTAGAAGACAGTGTTGAGAAGAAGAACAACAGAGATGAGCGTAATACAAACCGAAAGCAGGGTTTTCATCCAATATAGATAAGAACACTTTTTCCAACAATTGCTTACGAGTAATGCTCCAGAAAGAGACACAATGACAGCCAAATTTTCTATCGGAGAAGTTGATAAGCCAACACAAGAAAGTATTGTGAAAGGATTCCACAGGTGCACAAGAGCAGCAATATCTCCACAAGGGAGGATACCTGAGGGTAACAAGAAAAAGGAGATATCCTTCCAATAAAAATAGTTGCATGAAAGAAAAAGAACTAAGCTTTTGCACCAATTGTCAATGACCATTAACTAACTTCAATAAAATATATACATATATACAGGGAACAAGACTTAGATAAACATTGATTCCCAAAAAAGACTGTAATCCGTATCTTGTACTAGCTAGTGTAAAGCACGTTGTATAACAAGGATAGGACAAGACTCTGACTTTGTTGGATAACTTAAGTTTACCTCTATCCTGTAATGACGTAAGAAGGCCAAGTCGCCTCAAATTCAATCTGTAAGCCTTTTGGAGCTTCTGACCAGTAGCTCGAAGAAGCAACGCACTAAGTATATCTGCAATAACAAAAACCAAGCTGTATCCAGAGGATTGTTGGTATCAACCAGATGACTGACAAAGCTCTCAATCAAGACAACAACTCTAGTTCCATCGAGATCACACAGTTACAATTCTTGATTACTAGTACAGTTCCTTAAAAAATACCTGCACAAATGATGACTCGATTTCCCTTCAATCCTGCAACATCACACTATGTTCCATTTAAAATTTTCAAATTGATACAACTTCTCATTTGGCTCAAACTATACAATGCGAGAACCTTAAGAAACTCAGCTCAAGAACTAAACTTCTACCTCTGAATTGTGAGAGGACCGAGAATGGAGAGTAGCAATGGAGAGCCATGATACATTGACCCTGACCAGAAGAAGAAACAAGTACACCACGATTTCAACTTCAACAACAAAATTCTCATATGTAGAAGACGAATCAATTACAAACCTGCGTATGGCGACAGTGATGACTGCTTCAACCAGTAACCTTCAGCAACTGAAAACATTCAAAAACAAAATCGTATGCGTAATCGAGATTGTCGATAGAGAATATATGAGAGAGAGAGAGAGAGAGAGAGAGAGAGAGGATGTACGGCGGCGAAGGCTGGTGAGAGGGGTGGAGAGCTCCGGACGGGAAGATGCGTTGATATTTTCCGGGAAAAAAAAGATCAAGAATAATCGGAAAATCGTAGAAGCCATAGCCCAAATCCAGAACATGCAAGGCTCCTCCTCTGCCATTACTCCGTCGTCTTTCTTCTCCTCCTTCGTTCTTCTCCGGCGAGCTAGTCGTAACAGTAAAAACAATGTCGTTACTATACTATTGGGCTGCTTTCCATAAATATGGGCCTTGACTTTAGGCCAGCCCGTAACTTAACTAATAAATATAATATGGGCTTGGGCGCACTCGTAAACTGTTTTGAAACATTTATTTTGTTAATTACTAGTACTATTTTTAATTTATTTATTTTTTGTGTCAACGTCTCTGATTTTTAGATAATTTACACACTTTCGGTGAAAACTATTGTATAAGAAAAGCGAAGAACAAGTTGCACAAAAAAAGTAAACTAAAATGAAAAACAAATGTACAAAAGCTGATCTCCTACGTACGTACTTGTATGTTTCTCAGGTAATGTCGTTATCACTTGACAATCTCGTTTTTCCTGACCAACCAATAGAAAAGCTCCTTTTATAGAGATTTATTTATTTCTGTTTTTCTAGTGGGCTATTGGCTTAAGACATTTTTATTCGAGATTATCCGTCCTCGTTTTCTCGGTCTTATGTCATTGTCATTAGATCAAGTGGAAAAGGAAACTCGAGATATTTGTTTCAAATTAGTTTCTGACCATATCGTAAATCGTAATAGGTACACTGAAAACAAAATCTGATCAAATGCTGTGAAGCACATTTTATATCATATTCTTTCTAGAACTCTCTAAATGCTGTCAATAATCTAATTAACTAGGTGTATTTTGTATAGGAGTTATGTAAATAATAATAAGTTAAGGATACCATTTGTTTTTGGTGTACCATTTGTTTTTTTTTTCCTGTGGATTTAGATATAGAGATGGACGAAACTTTATTTGTCACGATATATGGACCAATCCTTTGCAATCACGAAAGGTTTGTGAATTCGTTAAAGTACTAATTTATCGAAATGAATTAGTGAGATCATCTCATTGAAGACTATAATAAATAAACGCTAGTTACATGGAAAAGCCCATAAAAGAGATTTTTTTTATTATATCGAGCTGATTGTATAAGATTATATATTAAAACGGTAATGGTGTTGATACCAGTCATTAAAAAGTCATATTTTATCTTTACTTTGTTATTGAGAATACGTAAGCTACCTAAAAATATTCATTCTTCTCAACATGATATATAAAAAAAAAAAAAAAAACAAGTTTTGAGATACTAAGATTATGATCTATCATCTTTTTTGATCGATCTATCATCTATCATCTAGTATGGTTGTGTAATGCGTCCTCTACCCACATAACACAAAACTTCTGACATTAATCTGATTGGAGGAAAACAAATATTAAGGTTCTTATCTAACAAAAAGAGGACAGCAATGAAATGACGTTGGATATTTTCGTATTCGTTATATGCATGAGTGGATAAATTTTTTTTGTTTCGTCAAAATATCTTCAAAATATCTGAGCATATATGGACATTTTTGGGTGGTCATTTTTTTATTTTGCCCAAAAAAAATAAAAATATGGACATTTTTTTTTTGTTTGTGTCACAAGACTCATGATGACAACTCATATTCGTTCAACAATTGGATATCAACTTGGAACGTGAATATCATCAATTGTGCAAGATATCAAAATTTTAGGTTATCATACGATACGATGGCGGATGGCCGAAGGAATAGTCGAAAGCTCGAAATATGATGCAGAGAGAATTGAAAACTGATTCGATACAAAGATATACTTTGGTCGGATCTCTTGAATCATAAGGTACTAATCAAATTACAATAAATTTGTACTCTTTGTAGTTTTAGTTATTTGTATTAATGTATTAGTATCACCACAATGTTATAATTTATATTCAAATTGAACAATATCATTACGTGAATCGTAGTACAATAGTTTAAAAGGTAAACTGTTGTAGCTGTACAAGATTTCCAAGGTATTTAATTATGAACTATACAACATAATAATAATACTAGCACACAAATAAACATATATATTACAAATACATATCCACAAGGATCGTGTAAATATGGGAAAAACGTTATTAAAACGACAATGCAATCTACATGTTCATACAAATAAACAGATTCTCTCGTTGACATTTTGGATTAGGTGTAACCGAAAACTATTAACTGAAATCTCAAATGGCTAAGGATTTGGATATTATAATTGTTTTCGTAATATGGTTCTTACAAGTTACAACTCATGAATTTGATTATACGGATTAAAAAAATCCAATCGAACAGCTTTAAATTAAGGAATTTTGATGGTTATTACAAACTTGAAACTAATTAATTTTGAATGAATTTAACAGATTATGTACAAGTATAGTAGTATTTAATAGACGATCCATATGCCTTTTTGTGTCACCGTCCAATATTGTCTGTCACAATCCACCACCAAACCCTTCTTTATGCTCTGTTCTTGAGTAAACAACTTTTGATTTTTCTCGCGTTCGAAGAAACCTCAAGAACGAAAAGTCTTGAAAGAAGACCCATTTTATTACAAAGCCTCTTGAGATTTTTGGATCTCGTTGAAGAGGTTTTCTAAGGTTTAGATGGGTGTGGCTCACTCTGACCTTCACAATGATTTGTCTTCTTCATCTTGTTTTGGGGATCGGAATCTATCGAAGCTTGGGTTAGGTGATTTTCCAGAGGCTTGTGTGGCTATGATTGTTGAGAATTTGGATCCCGTAGAGATCTGTAGATTCTCAAAGCTCAATAGAGCATTTCGTGGCGCTTCTTGGGCTGATTGTGTGTGGGAATCGAAGCTTCCTCCAAATTACAGAGATGTTCTCGAGAAAATCCTTGGTGGGTTCCCTGAAAATTTGCAAAAAAGAGACCTTTATACTTTTCTCTGCAGGATTAACTCATTCGATGATGGCACCAAGGTTCGCTCTTCACACTCTCTCTCTCTTTCTGAAATTGGAAACTTTTTCAATAAACGAGTTTTGATTGTGCAGAAGGTATGGATAGATAAACGAACCAGTGGTGTTTGTCTATCCATTTCAGCTAAAGGATTATCCATCACAGGCATTGACGATCGTAGATATTGGAGTCATATCCCCACTGATGAATCTCGGTGAGATTTTTTTGTCTTTAGATTCTATTATCTAATCGGAATCATCTGTGGCATTTACTTGCTTGAATTGATTGCTTAACACTAACTCAGTTCTTGCAAAAGTATGCTTCTTTTTCTTTTTCCCCTAACTTGTCTGTTGGTTGGATTGCCTAACACAAAGCTCTTTAAAAGTGTGCTTTTTAAACCTGAAATTGTGTTGATCATGTGGTTCATATACAAACTTGTCGTGATTTCTCTTTTCAAGTTTGATTTTTTCGGTGATCTTAGTTTATTACTGTGTGTGTGTGTGTGTGTGTTTTCTTTCCAGTTAGACTCCTTTGTACAATTAGAGATCTTTCATGTTCTTATCATAGTTTGGATACATGTTATGGTCTAACATTCATCTTTTAATTTGGTTCTTGCAGGTTTTCTTCTGTAGCTTATCTCCAACAAATTTGGTGGTTTGAAGTTGATGGTGAAATCGATTTCCCATTTCCGGTTGGAACCTACAGCATTTTCTTCAGGCTTCAATTAGGCCGGTCTGGTAAGTGGTTTGGTCGACGGGTCTGTAACACCGAACAAGTTCATGGTTGGGACATTAAACCGGTTCGATTTCAACTCTGGACTGAAGATGGTCAATACTCCTCATCTCAATGTATGTTAACTGAGCGGGGAAACTGGATTCATTACCACGCGGGAGACTTTGTTGTCCGGGAATCGAATAGGTCATCGACAAAGATTAAGTTTTCGATTACTCAGATCGATTGTACACATACCAAAGGCGGGTTATCTCTAGACTCTGTAGTCGTGTACCCGAGCTCGTGTAAAGGCCAGTTGAAGCGGTTTTAATGTTTCAATCGGATCCAGTTTAGTGAGAGGTTAAAGGAGGTTTTTTATACAGTTCTTTAGCCTTGTATAGATGTAGTTAGAGCGGGGAAACTGGATTCATTACCACGCCGGGGACTTTGTTGTCCGGGAATCAAAATAGAAGTTGCCTTCAAAGATTCTATTGCTAGAAGCAACAAATTATAGTTCTCGAGAACATAACTATATGTGTGAAATTAAATTGATATTGTTGTGAATCGAAACATTGGGGCAAATATATAAGATAATCGTCTTAGTTGATACTTGTTAAAAGAAGGCTACAAGAATAAGTACAGAGTACGTTATGATTTAAATATTATCGAATCTCCTGTAGAGATTTCATATACAGTGAAATATTTGATGAAAGAATTTGAGATGGAATCATTCTTATGGAAGATGTTGAAATAAGATTGTGCATCAATCCGAGTCTTCATGAAATTCTTCGGAATTACAAATTGGACATCTAGCAAAAGAGATATTATTTCAAAGATCTTCGAGGATTTTACATAGAAAATGCTCACATATATTTGGTCCAGAATAATCATAATAAGAAGGAAAGCTAAAATAGTAATTTTACAAGGAGAGTATGTATAACTCCTATGTAAAAGTCAAAAGTTTAGAAAGTTATTTGGACCTGAAGTTTAAATAGACAATGAAATCTGAAAGAGATGTTATGAACTAGAAGTTCAAAGACCCGAGAGGTTATATGACAATCATACCAGTTTGTTCACTAAGTTTCTGAATATAGTGATTCTCGAAAAAATGATATATATGACTGAATGCATATCCTGAAGATGATGATTCCAGGGACAGAAATATGGTTATATGCGTGGTTGTACTCTTTTTCCCTTATCATGGTTTTTATCCCATTGGGTTTTTCCACGAAAGGTTTTTAACGAGACAACAAAGAACATGCGAATGATAGACACCTTAAAGAAAAATGTTGTGATTCCAGTGATTAAAGACTATTGTTATTCAAAGTCTTTAACATACATTGATGAGATCGTGAGAAACAAAGATAATGATCCAGATGATCCATCTACGAGACCAATGAACTGCAAAAGAATGGTGATGTATGTGTCCTACAAATTCGTTCAAGTGAAGATTTGGCGAACCTATTTACCAAGGCGTTTCCAACAACTACTTTCAAGAAGTTAGTTCATCATATCCGATCGCGTCATCTCGAAGATTCAAGTGATCTACTCATGAGGGGGAGTAAAAGCGCGCTGCACTATTTTTCCCTTAACCATGGTTTTTCTGATAAGGTTTTTAATGAGGCAGCATCTCATATGCGCATTTGAGATTATATTTTTATAATGGTCATCCAAGGGGGAGTGTTATGAATAATTATATGTAATATCTGGATGTCCATTATAAGGCCCGTTAGTAGGTTCTAGAAGACTTAATCTCTAACCTAAACCCTAATATTATATTCCTATATATATGTTGTATCTTGTACAATTGATCAATAACAGACAGAACAATTCCCTAAAACCTCTTTGTTCACAACATATTTGAATTTCTATATTTGTCTTATTTAATGATTTAACAATTCTTACAATTAGTAATATGATCTTTTTGTCCAATTAAGATATTTTATTAACTATTTCATAAATTTTGTCCATGTCAATATAACTTGATTTGTATTATTTATTTTAATTGTAAACAGAATCAAAACATGTTGATTGTTGAGTTATATAGTAAAAACTTGATGATAAACATATTAAATATATATATTTTTATATATTGTATGTTTATGTAAAAATAACTATATATATAAAGTTTATATTTATATATTTGATAAATTCTATTAAATAATAAGAATAATTATTTTGTGTATATGTCAACATAAGCTGATGTGTATTCATTTTCTTTATAATTTGATTTTGTTTAACTTCAAATTAGAATGGGAGACTCACAAAAATGCCCCTTTTTTAATACCCCTTTTAAAAAATGCCCCCTTTGGCTGTCCATTTTTAAAAATACCCCTTTTTATGTACAAAATGACTAAATTACCCTTCTTTTAATAAAAAATATCACAAATATATAAGCAAATATAACAAAATTAGGTCTACAAAATACAAAATATTTTTTGGCGGGAAAAGTGATCCCGCAATTTTTCCCGCCAAAACACTTGTAAAAACTTGTAAAACCTTTAAAATACCTTGTAAAATTTTCCCGTAAAACTTTTTCCCGCCAAAAAATTTTCCCGCCAAAATTTTTTTTTTGCGGGAAAAGTGATTCCGCAATTTTTTTGGCGTTAAATTTTTGGCGGGAAAATTTTTCCCGCCAAAAATTTACAAAGTATTTTAAAGGTTTTTTACAAGGTATTTATAAGGTTTTACAATGTATTTTAAAAGGTTTTACAACGTATTTACAAGGTATTTATAAGATATTATAAGATTTTACAAGCTATTTTATAAGGTTTTTACAAGTTATAAGGTTTTACAAGTTTTTTATAAGGTTTTACAAGTTATAAATACCTTATAAAACCTTATAAGTACCTTGTAAAACCTTTTAAAATACATTGTAAAACCTTACAAAACACTTGTAAATACTCTGTAAAACCTTTAAAATACCTTGTAAATTTTTTCCGCCAAAAATTTTCCCGCCAAAAAAATCCCGCAAAAAAAAATTGGGGAATCACTTTTCCCGCAAAAAAAATTTTTTGGCGGGAAAATTTCGTAAGGCGAGGCAC